AACGCAGCTCAGAAGGAGGAGCCTGTACAGGCCCCGCCCCCTCAGTCTCCGCCCAGAACCGCTTTCTTTTCTCCCGGCGATGAATCAGAGCGCCGCGATTCTGCCGTGAGCGATCTGGACGTGGACCAAACACACCTCCAGCAGCGTCGGCTGACCGGTTCCAATACAGCCACTCAACGAAGGCGGCCAATCACCAATGCGAATCACAGCCGAGGTCGTGGAAGCAGAGCTTCCAAGCGCTGCCCCTCCGGCATCCAGTGGCAGCAACAAACCGGTGAAGAACATCACTAGTAGCACGGATAACATTACTGAAATAGTAGACGCATCCCAAACTATTAGTACTAACAATATCTATGATGCAAACAGCGCTAATAACATTAACAGTCCAAATTCAAAGAATATCACCAGCCTTTGTCATCCTACTCCACCATCCTCCTCATCGTCTCTCCAACTCTTCTCTATTTCTGACCCGCTTGGTGCTCGTCCGAAGCAGCAGAATAACGCAGCTCAGAAGGAGGAGCCTGTACAGGCCCCGCCCCCTCAGTCTCCGCCCAGAACCGCTTTCTTTTCTCCCGGCGATGAATCAGAGCGCCGCGATTCTGCCGTGAGCGATCTGGACGTGGACCAAACACACCTCCAGCAGCGTCGGCTGACCGGTGACTCCGGCATTGAGGTCTGCCGCTGCCGCGTAGAACGTGAAGAAGAGGATGATGATGATGAAGAAGAAGGACACTTACCGACAGAGTCGGCCACTGGAATGGGTGATGCTCTTCACGATAGTCTGGACTGTTCCGCCAGAGCCAGACCAGATGGGGGCACAAAAGAGGCGTGGCCTGTGTCCTCAGTGCCTCCGCCCACTGATGCGGTTGTCATCGCCATGGAAACTGAGTGTGACATTAAGAGCACACAGGTCTTGTGAGAGCAACCCTGTACAGACTGGCATTAGAAGACACATTAATCTGCGACCTCATCTTTGGTCTAAGGGTCACACACTACGGAAAGTTTGGAATTATTACCATTTTTTAAATGTTTTTGAAAGAGTCTCTTCTGCTCACCAAGGCTGCATTTATTTGATCAAAATACTGAAAAAAGTGAAATATTATTACAATTTAAAACAGCTGTTTTCTATGTGAATATCTGTTAAAATGTTCAAGAAACATTTCTGATTATTATCAATGCTGAAGAGTTCGTATTTTTGAGAAAACTGTCATACATTACTATTCAAAGTTTGGGTTACGTAAACAATAAATACTTTTATATAATACACTTTCTGAAGATCATGTGACACTGAAGACTGGAGGAATGATGCTGAAAATACAGCTGCGCATCACAGAAATGAATTACAGTTTAACAGATATTCACAGAGAAAACAGCTGTTTTACATTCTAATAATATTTCAGAATTTTTTTTACTCCATTTTGATCAAATAATTGCAGCCTCGGTGAGCAGAAGAGACTTCTTTCAGAAACACTTTTGGCTGGTAGTGTGTATTTGTGTCAGTGACGCACCAGATCACAGATTCCCAAACCAGACCAAAGTCGGACCTTGATGACCTTTAATTTGACCCGTCATGCCGCATCACAAGAGGAGGGAAAAATAGAAAACCCTTTTTTTTTCACATTATTATTTATTTTTGCATTATAATGTAGAGGTTGTAAGTGAATTTTATTTTTTTAAAGGAAAACTGTAATGCATAATGCAATTAAATTTTTTTGGGGACATTCGTAGTCAACTCTAGGGTGACGCGGCTTGAAGATACAGACATGCAAACCCACGTAAAACATGGACGATGTTCTGACTGGACTAACGAACGAACTCTTAAAATATTCTTTCCTACATTCTCTCTGACGGTCCGGCTGCTTCTTTTGCTCTTTAGTTTTAAATGAACACCAACTTCTGGGTAATGCAGAAGACGAACAAGCGAGCGGAAACATGGCAAGCAAGCGTTCGTGGAGCTGGCCTGAAGTTTCTGCACTGCCCAGCGTTCCTCAACACCAGCTCGGCCAAAACAGATGCTGCATCGCAACCACTGGAGAAGAATCGAGACGCACCTCAGGACTTCTGCTTCTCTTCAACATTGATTACGAACATTCCTTTACGTCTTTGTGTCGGACACTGATATGCTTTTGTTCATTTACAACGTGCAGGCGGGTGAATCTCATCAAGTCTGTCAAGATCACGTTTGACTCCAAAATCAAATGAAAAAGAAATAGGAAATTTTGTTTTGCATAAAGAAAACGACTTGTTTTTTTGCATTATTTTCATGACAATTAAGCACATTTAAATCTTCAGTTCACATTACTGTAATGTGAAAAATAATATTTACATTGTATATCATGCACATCATGATAGTACTTGTGCTGCCATTAATTTATACCGATTCAAACGTTAAATGTCATTGTATTAATAGAAGGAGAATTTAGTGAGATTACCGATAATTGAAATGAAAGAAAACAAAAAGGATTAACTACAGTAATGACCATTTGAGAGGAAAATGTGC